CTCTCTCTCTCTCTCTCTCGGCCCAAGTAAAACAAAAAAAAAAAAATAAGAAAAGAATGGATAAGGGAGGGTTGACTTTTGATGGTGCCACCTCATAATTACCCATGGGGTATCCATGCATCAAATCTCATACTTCCATGCACCATCACCTCAAGACTCTCCCCTCTCTCTTCTCTTCTTGTTTTGGCCGAGGATCACCAAACACACACACACATCTTCAAACTCTCATCCTAAACACTCTCAAGCACATCCTATTCTCCATCCAAATTTTCGAGATCTTGGAGCATTTCAAGGAGTTTATTCCACAAGAATCATCACATTAGGTAATTTAAATGCTTGGATCTATAATCTAGTCTCTTTATTTCATCAAGAATCTTTCTAAACTCACACAAACTCATGATCATCATCTTAGAGAACTCTAAGTTCGAGATCCACCCAAGAAGGCTTACTAGGACCAAAACTCTTCCATTTCCTTCTTCAAAACCGAACCCACAAACCTAAGGTGAGTTCATACCCCTCTATTTTCGGTTTTCATATGTTTTATGGGGGAGAATGCAAGTAAAATGTGAAGATCTATGTGTATTTGTATGTTATGTGTGATTTCTTGTGATTTTGTGATATATTTGTGCTAAAGATGAAAGATATTTCGAGATCTATAGTTCAAAAAGGAAAAATATGTGATCTAGTTCATATTTCACTCAACATGTCAAGATAAACTAATATACAAGCTTTAAATTAACATACTACAACATCAAACTCATTTTTGGACTATTTTTGTCAAATAAGTAAAAGTTTGGGAAAAAGTTGTCATTTGCGGTTTTTACAAGGTTCAAAATGCCAAAACAGTTAAAATAGAAGTTTCTATGAACATTATATTTTTCAAAGGACTAAAAATGAAATTTTATGACTTATTGGGCTAAATTTTGGGCTTTTCAGCCCATAAGCCCAAAGTTGCGAAAAATATGTTTCTTAAGGGGCTGAAATGGAAATTTCTCAAAACAGTGGGTAGAAAGGTAAATAAATCTATTTCTGGGGTTTAAAATGATCATATTTGTTAAAAAGGATTTAAAATGCAAAGAATTTGGATTTTGGGTAAAAAGTGTAAAAGTTACGAAAAAGGTGGGTTAAAATGCAAATCTTTTAACTAAAGGGGTTGAAACTTTCAAAAAGTCACTTTTGGGCTTAAAACATTATTTAAATAAGTCTTTGGGTCAAAGATGTCAAGAAAAATGGTTCAAGGACCTAAAATGTCATTTTTTTATAAAAAGGGCAAACAAAATAAGGGGGCTGAATAGTTCAAATTAATGTTTTTTGGTCAATTATGTTAATAATAATAATAATCGGGCCAAAATATACAAAACTTTATAACTTATGGGTTTTAAATAGAGAAATAACTATTTTATAAAGCTATAAATCGTTATAAAACAATTTCGTGATTTATACGACATATCGATTAAACAACTCGCAACATTAGTACTATACAAAACAAGTAAACGTTCAAATGGTTGGGCTTGAGAGATTCTAATCATGCTTAATGGGCCTTCGTGACTCATTAACATGGCTTTTGGGCCCAACTTAAATAATACATGGTATTGGGCCTCCTGTGACCCAATTACATGCTTAATGGACCCTCAATGGTTTTTACATGCTATTGGGCCTCAGTGGCCCATTAGCATTACTAGTAAGGTCCAAATAAATTATATGCGAAATGGGCCAACGCGCTTTTCGTATACTCGACAGCCTTAAATAACATACAAAATTAGTAGGGCCTAGTAGTCCTCTTCTCCTCGTCTGTTAGGCTTACATTCTCTTCATGTAAAATAAAATTTGATCATTAATCAAGGTTAATCAAATTCATGTGGATTGAGTGAGTAATAACGGGTGACACCAATAAGTGTCGGTCGTAGTCTGTAGTTGTAATCAAAGTCTCCTAGAGGGAGAGCGAGAGTTTGTGTATAGATCTATACGGGGGTGACTCCCCCACACCTAAATTGTTCGCTACAGTTAGACTCGGCCAGTTTAGGGTGACAAAGTCTTAAGATCAAATTTCGGTGTTCATTAGAGTACCAAGACAGACGAACTAGTCATTATCATGCATGGTTATAACGACTCACGTAGAAATCCGACATCATTAATCAGGGGAAATCATTAATCAAAGGAAATCATTAATAAAGGGAAATCATTAATCAAAGGAAAAATCATTAATCAAGGGAAATCATATTCATTCGATGTAATGATTCAATAAAGCAAAAACAATCATAACTTTTATTCAGAAGACATCGGGTTTTCCAGGGAAATCAATCTTACTCACTGGTACTTTCAAACATTATAATGCAAAACTTCTCATTTATTCATGTTTTGAAATCATTCACGCATATACTTACAGGATCATCACAATAATTTCAAGAAAAGTTTTATTACAGAAAATATTGGATTTTCTGGGTTTTACCAATGACATAAACTACTTTACATCAAACACACTTATGAACTCACCAACATTATATATGTTGATCGTTTTCAAAATAACTTGTATTCTCAGGTAATCATTAGACAAGGAGGCATCCGGTGTGTTGAAAGTTTTCTTTTGTAGTAGCTAATCACCAAACACTTTATATTTTGAAATCATGTAATGTAAACCTTGTACTTGATGTAAACAATGCTAGTTGTACTATGTAATGGTTAGTGATGCATGTGTTATGTTTCATATATATTCATTGTGATGATATTTCAATTTAAGTCACGCGAGCCCTCGGACGTTTCCGCCGTCTGGTTCGGGGGTGTGACATATGCTTAGATTTGTTTTTGGGGGTGTTTAAGGTCACTTTTGGACGTTATTGTTGAGGCTTCTTGCATCTTTGCAATTTCAGAGCCTAAGAGTTGTCCTTTTGGGCTCTTGAAGGCACCTAAAGTCATAAAAATCGGACCTTGATGGTTAAGCCACAACCATGCAAGTGTTTGATGTCCATTGAGCTTGTTAAAGGACCAAAATCATGTATTGAGAGCCAACCATGCATGCAAGCACATAAAGTTTATGACTTTATGGGTTAGGAGGTCTTAGGGGGCCTGGATCTACAGTTTGGACGTAAGGGCTTACTGGATTAAGTCATGAATGAAGCCCCAAAGAAACTGGCCAGTACGCTGGACGTACTCCCTGGTACGCCGCGCGTACTGCGTCAACTCCCCTTTTTAGTCAAGGCCAGCGTATGCTGGGCGTACGTGCCAAGTACGCCGCACGTACATATGTAGAGTGGATGTTTTGGGCTTTTGGGCCTTAGGAGATTGGGCCTGGACTTTTGGGCCTCGTAGCCCACTGTGAAGTATAATTTTGGACTTGGGAATCTGGAACTAGAGTATTGGGCATATTGGGCCAAGATTGGCCCTTTTGGAATTATTATATTAGGACTTGGAACTTTTTGGGCCCATTTGGGGGTTAAGTCCGAATTCAAAAATTGGGCTAGTAGTGGGCCCTTAGGGAGTCCTTGATGGGCCGTAGGAGGGCTGGGATTAATAGGCTAGATTTAGGACTTATGAATGTTCCAATTGGACCCAGGGGTAAAATGGTCATTTTACCCTAAGTAGCGTTATAGATTCTAATTGAGTATTATTATGATTATGATAGCCGGGAGTCATCAGAGCAGCTATTAGAGGTTACTCCCCGTGAGATTCGACACTCAGCTTTACGAGGCGAGTTACCTTCCAGTAGAAGTGGGTCTACGACCACAATGTCGGCCCACTAGTAGGAGTTGTTGCTAGATGTTTGTCTTTGTGATAATTATTTAGGTTTGCTACTATCTGATATGCTTTATGTGCCATGATGCTCTGTTATATGTGTTAGTAGTAGTAGGGGTGAAATAGTCCCCAGTAGTTGGTTGTGATAAAACCGGCGGGTAAGTCAAGCACCCCAGAATGGCTTGACCAGGGTAAGTCAAGCACCCCAGAACAGCTTGACATGGGTAGGTCAGGCACCCCTGAATTTCCTGGCAGTATCTATGTTGTATGGTATGTGGTATGACGGGGGAACTCACTAAGCTTTGTGCTTACGGTTTTCAGTTTTGGTTTCAGGTACCTCTTCGTCGAAGTGGAAGGAGCCGGCACGGTAGCAGCGTATCGCACACACATGATTTCCGCATTTTGAGATCCATGGGATTTGTACTCTGACATTATTACTACTTTCTGTTATGATTTTAGGGACATGTGATGACTTGAAAATGATGATGATGTTGTTTTTCAGTAAATTGTTTTATAAGTATTATAATTAAAAACGAAAATTTTTGGTCTTGAAAATTAGGATGTTACAATATATTAATTGAGAAATCATATTATTTAATTAGTATTGATCAAGATTTGATTTGGAATTAATTTAGTGATTAAAAGAGACTAATTAAATTAAGGGGGACTGATTATGTAAATCAGTGAGACATATGGTTTGGACTAATGATCCGTGATTAATTTGTAATGGGCTAAGCTTATGTGAAAGTCCATAAATTATTAGTCCATATAAGTTATGGACCATAAGCCTAAGTGTAAGAATTAGAGTTACATATAACTCTTGGAATTCTACACTATATATGTGTAACCCCTTTAGCCAAAATGGGACCTGAGAGTGACATTGCAAGAGTATGGACGATTTTTGGTGCCTAACCTCTCTCTCATTTGTCTTCAAATTGTTCATGATGTTTGTGACTTGTTTGAGGCACAACACTTGGGGTGCTAAGCTCTTGAAAGGCCAAATTCAACAAGCTACAACAAGAGGTAATCTTCTAACTTACTTTTATGATTTATATGTCAAAATTGTATGCTAGTTGTAGGCTTCATGCTTCGGAAATTTTATTGCATGTATAATTAGAGAAAACTTAGATCCAAAGCTATTAGGGTTGTATGTGCACCATAGGAGTGTTATAGTACATAAAAACCCAACAATGTCAAGGTATGATTGGAAGGTCTTGAGTACTGAATGGACGTGATAACACTTTATGTTGTTGGTGGTGGTACTGTTAGTGATGCTGAGAGGACAACTCACCACTGCATACAACGGTGGCCGTGATTGTGGAGGTTTCCTTGTGTGTTTCATTAATCAACTTGGAAGAAGAGGTGTCTTGAAACAAGGTGAGAATGAAAAAAAAGTTGAAATGATGATGATGGGAAGTTGTAGAAATTATAGAGTCAAAGCTTTTGGTGGTGGGTTTGTTGAAAATGTCACTGTCACGTGGCTTTGTAGACTTGGATCACATGGAGAGTTGACCGATCTTTACGATATGGTAACCGGTAAAACCGATAAAAATATATTATTGGTATAATTAACAGGTCAAATGTAATTTTAGTGATTTGAACTACCAAAAAAATACATCAAGGACCTTTTAAACCAAAACTCAATAGTTAGTTGGGTTACAGTGACAATAACCCTTAAATAAACAATCCCAATTGGATAAATTAGCTTATAGCGGTGTGAGAAATCAACTTTTGCAAAAGTGTTTTGATTAGAAATAAGTTATAAGCAAAAGGATGCTTTTTAAAATTAGCTTATTTAGTTTATCCCACCACAATAAATTAATTTTTAAGTGTTTGGATTAGAAATAAACTATAAGCAAAACGATACTTTTTAGAGAAAATTGCAAATTTAGCCTAATACATTAATTACTTTGTGGAAAATAGCCAAAAAAACCCAAATTGCATTTTTAGCCACTAAAATCGCAGATGCGTATAAGCCATCTGCGATTTCGCCATGCCATCAGCGAACGTACAAGTGGCTAAAGCACAGATGTGCTTTAGCCACTTGTACGTTCACAGGTGGTTTTTATTATTTTATTATTATTTTTATTTTTCGCTGTATATATACCCCTTTTCCAACCTAAAATCGCAGATGAATTATGTCTATCTGCGATTTCCTCTCGTTTCACCTGCGATTTTATGATTTTTTTTGTTTTTTTTCTTATTATTTTTTTTACTATGAAGTTGATAGGGTTTGACTACGAAATAACCTTATTTATGGTTCTGGTTTAAGATGTTACCATATTTTCGGGATTGTTGAAGAAATCGTCCATTATGACTCTAACACCCTGCTCCCGAGTTGAAGCAAAGAAAAGAAGAGAAGAGAAAAGAAAGTAAAAAGAGAAAAGAAGAGAAAAGAAAGGAAAACAAATTTGTTTTTTGTGCTCCCGGGTTGGAGAGAAATGGAAGAAAAGTTAAACATTTTATTCTTTCTTTTCAAATCCTCCCAAATCGGAAGGAAAGTTAGGAGGGAAAATGATCCTTCCACTTCCTTCCTTTAATGAAACTCGGGAGCATCAATCTCTCTTACTTTCCTCTCATTTCCACCTACTTCCTTTATTTTCTCTCCTTAAGTTGAACTCGGGAGCGGGGTGTAAGGACATCGTAGAGAGAGAGAGAGTTTCTCTAAAAAAGATAGTGAAAAATGAAGAAAAAAAACTTTTTATACTAAAACTCTATGAAATCACAGATGGAAAACACCAAATCACAGATGGATTGTTCCATCTGCGAACGTTCGCAGATGGAAATGCGAAATCGCAGATGGACTTAATCTATCTACGATTTTAAGGGCTAATTTTGTAATTTGATTTTTTTTTTGCTATTTTCTACAAAGTAATTAGTATATTTGGTTAAATTTATAATTTTCTCTACTTTTTAAAATTAACTTATTTAGTTTATTCCACCACATTAAATTAATTTTAATTTTTAATGTATGAAATCCAAACACCAATAAGCCCTCTTTTTTTACCTATCCGAACACCTTCTGATCTCTGCTACAGAGGTTTATGATGATGATTGATGGGGTTTTAAGGCTTACTTGTGCTCTATCCAAGTGTACAGAGTGTTGTTACAAATGGAGACGCAGTCGATAAGGCTTCGTTTGGTGTTCGAGGATGGTTCGCTTCTTAGCGAAACACAACGATCCGACGGTATGAACCAGAGTTGGCTTCTAGTTGAACCAAACCAACATCAGAAAATCTCCGACGTCTGCAATCATCTTCTTCACAATTTCAACCTTCATGATTCGTGCCCTAATGGCATCCTCCTCTACGTAATTCTCTTTCCCTATCTACCCCAATCTATCAATGCTAATGCAGAAATGCACAAAACCTAATTTCACTCTAAATTGCATATCAACGAAGGTGATGAGTTTTTTTTTCAAAGCTAATTTGGCGTAAAAAGTAAACATACTCTTCTCAGTTTCATTTAAAAAGATAATAATAAATAATCAGAGAACCTTTCTTGATAATAAATAATCCGTCGTTTACAATTCTCAGAGCTCTTTTGTTAGCATCTGTTTACAATTCTAAGTTATGCAAGCTAAATTCTTCTATTGAACATCAAACCAGTGTAAATAAGCTTCAAATACCTAAACCCTTTTGAGCTTTGAACAGAAACTAAAACTATCTCCTCATAATTTACAGGTTAAGCTGAAAGGCATCTAACAAAATCAAACCTAATCTCTCATACCATATGTAATGAGGATGCTGAATTCTTAAACTGCAAATGGGCCCAAATAACCTCCAAAACAATTAAACTAATGGTGGGAAAATGGTTTATAAAGGGATCACAGTTGAGAATCACAAGTAATTTAGGATGTGAATGTGATGTTACATCCAACCTAGTACTTTACAAATGGAGATGAAAAAAGATACTGTAATGAACGTTAACCTTTTGCTGTTGCAGATGGATGGCTTTGTGTTACCACCATCCGAGTCAACTCGAATCCTGAAGGACAAGGAAATTCTTTGGTCAGCTTAATTTTTTAATTTTGTACTAATTTTTTTTGACATAAACATGTAACTGGTTCTTTAACAAGTGGACATATGTTTGTTACTTCAGTGTAAAAAGGAAAGGGATGGGTTTGGCTGAAGCAATAGAGGGGGCAGATGCAGGTAATTTGGTTGACTATGTGGAAGTCAACAGGAAGGAACCTGTAAATAATGCCATGCTTCTTCTACCAAATGAAGAGTTTAATAAGGAAAATTTGGAAGATGAATCTTCATCCGTAGAAACGATTTCCAAGAAAAGAAAACTTCAGAGTTCAAAGTAAGTCATGCAATCTTTTTTAAAATTTATGATACACTAAAGGGTCTGTTTGGTTGGATGGAATGGAATAAAGTGCTTTTTCTTATGAACTATATATCTATTCCATCTAAATACAAATTCACTATTACAAAACTAAAAAAGTAAGCATAATAAAAGCTCACTAAAACCAAATGGGATTATAATAAAAAAGTATTGTCTAGTTACTTTTAGAAAATAAAATCGTAATTTAATTAAAATATTGAAATTGCAAGAAAGTCCCTTATTAAATTTGTTCTTTGCCTCTCTTTGGGAATCATAGGTTGAGTGGTGCTGAAGGTGAAGTTGTGAGATTGCTTAGCCAAATGGATTCATCATCTTCTTCATCAAGTTCAGATTTTGCGTATTCTTCATATTGGCATTTATCTTCATCATCAAGTTCAGACAATGGGTCCTCATCTAATACATATGTGTGTAATAGTCACATTTTGTCAACAATTGCTCAAGCTACATTCCTTCTTTTTCATGATACTGCAAGTTCAAGCGAGCCAATAAATACAACAACAGATCGTGAAGCTTCACATGATCGACTCGTGCAAGATTATTTCGGTGAGAATCCTGTATATGGTGATGAGATGTTCAAAAAAGGATTCCGAATGCGAAGAGAATTATTCCTACGAATAGTTGATGATATGGAGAGAGAATTTCCATATTTTAGATTATCATGGGATGCTAGAGGCAAAAGGGGTTTTAGTCCGTTACAAAAATGCATATCTGCGATATGTCAACTAGCATACGGGACAATTCCTAACGAATATGATGAATACTTGAGTTTGTCCGAAAGAACTTCACGTGAAAGTCTGCAAAACTTTTGTACAAGTATTATTCAATTGTATGGACAAGAATATTTGCGTAAACCGACTGTTAGTGACATCCAACTTTTGTATGCAGCACATGAATCCAAATATGGATTTCCTGGAATGCTAGGGAGCATTGGTTATACACATTGGACTTGGAGGAATTGCCCAACACTATGGCGAAGCCAATACATGAGAGGTGATCTTGAGTTCCCGACGATTATGCTCGAAGCAGTAGTCTCGCAAGATTTATGGATTTGGCATGCATTCTTTGATGTCGCTGGTTCCAACAACGACATCAACGTTCTCAATCAGTGGCCATTATTCAATGAAGAATTAAATGGAACCGCACCCACGTGTCCTTTCCAGGTTAACAAAGTACAATACAAGCATGGTTATTATCTTGCCGATGAGATTTACCCCAATTGGGCTACTTTTGTGAAAGCATTTACCTATCTAGATGAAGATAAACGAAAAAAGTTCAATGCAACACATGAATTAGCAAGGAAGGACATGGAACAAATTTTTGGTGTCCTTAAAAGTAGTTGGCGTGTATTTCGAAACCCTGCACGGGCAATGGATCCTAGAAAAATTAAAAATACAATGTATGCTTGCATTATATTACACAATATGATTTTAAAAGATGAAGGTCTAGCAATATGTTCGTTTTTAGAAAACGATCGTCCAACTGATCAAAAAGGTCTAGAAGTAAATCAAGATGCTATTGAGGAATTGCGTTGTCAAGAAACTCACAACAATCTTCGATTAGATCTTGTGGAACATATTTTAAATACTTACGTACCCAACTTAGACTACTAGTTGTATCTTTATAGTATTATATTATTTATTTAGTTGTAATGTTTGTTTCTGAGTTATTTATTTAGTCTCCATTTTTAAGCATTTTAATAAAAAGAAAATGTATCAGATGTTGTGAGATAGAAAAATTGTCATTTTCATAGTTTTGGGATGGAGTAGGAAGAGAAAAAATCGATTTGTGGCTAGGAATGGAGTTCCCTCCGCCGTAACACATATGACAGATGGAATAAAAGATGAAGGGGGAATGATAGAGTTGCAACGAAAATGATTCAAATTCAATCATGTTATCTTTATTATTCAATGTTTGATCTTAAAATTATACAACGTTTTCTATATATTTTTCCAAATTTTATTATTTTTATCATAAATAAAAACAAAATCATAGTTATGGTAATAACAAGGTTTTAACGTCATTAAGAAGTAGTTATTACGATTTGTAACTTACATTGTGTGTTTTGGCAAAGAAAGAAAAAATAAAGAAGAGAAAAGAAGAGAAGTTCTCTATTTCAACAACCCTAAGTGACATTTTGATTTGAGAAAGGAGCTACTTTGATAGCAATGATGTTTTAAAAAATGAAACATTAGGTCATCATATTGAGATGACTTTTCTTAGTTTGTGTTCTTTATTTTAAATCCAAAAATAAATCAATATTATATAATAAATAGATAAAATTGCAAAAATAGTATTTTGGTTGTCAAAAATATATGTTTTCGGTCCAAAAATATTTAAAACATTTAGTGTTGTATTAGTGGTATAATTTTGGATATTTTTAATGATTTTGGTCCCTATCTACTTTGAAAAGACTATTATGCCCTTATAACTTGTTTTTCATTTTTATTATCTATTTTAATATTTTCAACATTAAAAAAAAAACACCCTACTACTTTTCTCTTCCCCCATTCACTCCTCTTTGCCCATTCCCAAATTACAAGACCTGTTTATCATCCACAACCTTCATCAGAAAACCATCCAACATCATTGGTGCGTCTACACTCACCTTCCATTGTACGCAATCCCTCCCTCCCACCTCCCCCCCCCACCACCACCACCACCACCACCACCACATCTCCCTTCCACCTTTAACCCGTCGACGCCTTCTCTTCCTAACGTCATCGGTGAGTCCAGAGTTGCCATCCCCGACATCTTGTCGCCCATGCCACTTGCTCTGTGTAAGGAAGCCAGGCAACATTCTGTCCTCTAAAATCCTTATACCCTAATCTGAACTCAATGACAAAGGTCAATGGTGGATTTGAAATCACGAATAAAAATCGATTCACCGTCGTGAAAAAGCTGATTCACTATCTCCTCCGTTGATTCATCATCTGTAAACTCTCATTTTGATTGGGGAATTGATATCGAAACCATTTTCAATTTTTGGATCCAGAGGGGGACGATTTTTGGATCTGGAAACATTTTTAGGTTTTGATATTGGTTGCAAGTTCTTCGTTTGTTCTTGATTTTGGTTTGGTGTTAATTACAATTTTTAATTTTGATTTCATCTGGTTTACGATTTGTTTTTAATTTGGTTTGTCTTTGTTTTTTCATGATGGTTCAATTTCAGTTTAATTTGTGGATGAAAATTCGTGGTTGTCGGAGATGAAACATGAAAAGTGGTCTCAGATTGTAACATCCAAAAATTTACGCCAAATTTAAAATTTTCCAATCATAAATAAAATCAAATAGTATTTGTTTACAAAATGTTTTCAAATCAATATTCATCAGAGTGTCCCAATAACTAGATCAAAAGGATGAGGAGCGGTACGGTCACGCCTTCGCCTTGTCATGATCTCCTGAAGTACCTAAAACAATAAACTGAAAACTATAAGCCCGAGGGCTTAGTGAGCTACCCCCAATATACCAATACCACACTGATAATACCATGTCAGTAACAAACAATCAATAACATGCATACTGGGCCATCAGCCTGACTGGACCGCCCTGCAGGGCCTACAGTCTATCTGATCCTATCCCGAGCCTTCGGCATGACTGGTCCGCCATGTGGGCCTACAGTCTCCCCGGACCGCTCATAGGGTATGTTGGCCTTCAGCACAAAGCAGGACCGCCTCAACCCAACCAACAAGCAAATAACCATGTGCGCATAACTATCATATACTGGAATATGCAAACATCAAACATATCTATCTCATTGATCATCAATAATAGAAATCTCTCGTAACTAGAGCACCGACCTAGCAGGTCACTAACATACCAATCCCTACGGATCATAAGAGCATAACATACTGTCTATCCTGATTCCGATCTAACAGATCATAACCACATGTAGCATACCATAACAATAAGAACTAAAGGGCCGGCCTTGGTGCCGTAGACCCTATCGATATAGTGAGGATAACTCACCTTGCAGATGTCGACTCGGTAAATGAACTCCAACTCTCGGATCGCTGTCAACAACTCCACCACCTATTACCATAATATAATCATACCCATAAGTTCCCAACCTTTCAAGGTACCCCATAAGTCAACTAGTCAATCCCTGGTCAAAGTCAAAGTCAACAGTCAAGGTCAACAGTCCATGTTGACCCTAACTCGTCGAGTACCCTCGGCTACTTGCCGAGTTCCTTGAGATACTTGACCACTCGCCGAGTCACCGGGGTGGCTCGTCGAGTTCCTAAGGTTCGCGATCGAAGCTCTAAGGCCACTCGTCGAGTTTTCCTTCTTGCAACTCGATAAGTTCACATGCATTCATCAATTGGGGAAACCTTAACCGACTCGCCGAGTTGTTCATCCAACTCGTCGAGTCTACGACAATCTTCATCGGACTCGCCGAGTTGTTCATCCAACTCGTCGAGTTCAATGCATATCTTCATATGACTCGCCGAGTCGACTATGAGACTCGCCGAGTCCCTTCAGTCATTTCACCATGCAGACACTTTTAAGCCATGGCAAGGCCCCAAATTGCAGATCCAACTTCCTTAGGCATGCTTATCACGTAAAGTTGCAAACTTTACGTGCATGCAAGGCTCTATTGACTCAAAATGCCAAAACTAAGCTTGAAATGGGGTTTTACACATAGGGAGGGGTTCATACTTGCCACGGCTGAAACCTTTATGGTCTTACAATTCACAGAGAGTTCAGATCTGAAGTTACAACTTCAGATCTGATCTCATACCCCAAAAATAGCTCCATGACCAAACCAAAAACCCTAAACTCCATCCAAGGAGATCTAGAACGAAATGGGATTAAGATAACAGCTTAATACCTCCCCAAAAGATGCCAACTGAAGTAGATCTTGATTCCCCCGAGTTCCTTGCTTCAATCCACTTGTTTCCCCAAGCTCTTCTCACCAAGAATCCTCTTCCAAAGCTTCAAACACACAATGGGGCACACACACGTAAATAAAGAGGATTTTGCTAAGCTCTCAAGGGACTATAAAGAGGATGAAGGAGGCTTGTGCTTCTTTAAATAGGGTGCAAAACCCCGGGATTTAGGGTTTCATCTGCCAGCTCCTACTCGTCGAGTTCCCTTATGGACTTGGCGAGTAAGCCACTAAACACGCGATCCCACCCCGCTGCTACTCGACGAGTAGGGCAACCAACTCGTCGAGCAGGTCTTAAAACCAAATAAACTTTCATTCAAATCAATACCTGCGAATCGGGGCGTTACAATTCTCCCCCACTTGAACTAGACTTCGCCCTCGAAGTCCGCTGGAGTAAACAATGTCGGGTAATGCTCGCGCATCTCCGCCTCCGGCTCCCATGTCCACTCGGATCCCCTCCGATGTTCCCACTGCACCTTTACCAAAGGTATTTCTTTGTTCCGTAAAATCTTCTTCTTCTTCTCCAAGATGGCCACAGGCCTCTCCACGTAATTCAGGCTGAAGCACCTGGTTCCTGGTATGTAAATTTATCTAAGTATTTTGCATTTTTTAGCCTTGGACTCGGCGAGTTGTAGGCCCGACTCGCCGAGTAGAGCCGGGACATGGAACACGTTTAAGTTGGCGACTCGGCGAGTCCATATTCTGGACTCGGCGAGTCCCCGCTGTCTGGTGAAACCCTAATTCCAAGGGTTTGCACCCTATTTAAACCAACCTTATGCGCCCCAAGCTCGCCCCCATTCACCCTCAGAGCCCCCTATATCGTTCTAACATCGTTCCTTGTGAAATTGAAGTGCTTGGTGTGAGTTCTTGAAGACTTTGAGAGAGAAAGGAGAGTAAATCAAGAGGAGAGGAAGGAGGCCAGGCATCTTGGTGTTATTTCAGAGATTTCCTTGAGGTATAACTCAGTTTCCCTCTGTTTTCATGCTTATAGTCCCTTAGAGCTCCATTAAAGTCCTTCTTGAGCCATTTCCAAGCTGGGGTATGAACTAGGGTCTGTGATAAGCTGATTAACCTTTAGATCTAGGCATGATTGAGCTCCAGGAGCTCGGATCCACTGCCTTTATGAAGCCATATTGCATGAAAGCCCTAGATCTACTCTTTTAGTGCATTTTGAGCCCTAAAACCTTCATTGGTTTTTATTTACACGTAAAGTTGGAAACTTTACGTGTTAATCAAGCCCTAGGAACCTAGATCTACGTATGGAATGAGTTGGATCCAAGCAAAATCGAGTATATAATAGTGGCATGTGGCCGACTCAGCGAGTCGTTCATCGGACTCGGCGAGTCGAGTCGCGAGTCCTCGAGTTTTCCCCTTTTCGTGTTGCTGAGTGGAGTCGTGAGTCATGGGGGGGGGGGGGGGTGACTCAGTGAGTCGGAAGCCAGACTCACTCATGGAGGAACTCGGCGAGTCAATGCCCTGACTCGGCGAGCCTCAAGAACAGACTCGGCGAGTTGTTCATACGACTCGGCGAGTCTCAGCATAGAATGTTCTTCGGTTGAAGATGAACTCGACGAGTTGTTCACACAACTCGACGAGTAGGATGAAGGACTAGTGGTCATCGGTTTAGAAGGAAACTCGTCGAGTCAATGCCTAACTCGACGAGTAGAGACGAGATTATGGTCAATCGAGTGGATAGGGACTCGGCGAGTTGGCAAGCCAACTCGGCGAGTCAGGTCAACTGGAAGTTGACTTTGATTTTGACTCTTGGTTTAGTTAGGGGTAAATGGTCATTTTACCCTGAGGTCGGTTAGCAGTATTTGACTGAGTGTTTTTGTAGGAATTATAGCCGGAGGATTTCCGGAGCAGCAGCAGCAGAAGTCAGTCAGTTCCCACGCAGATCAGCAGCCACTTTGAGGTGAGTTACCTTCCAGTAGCGGTGGGTCTACGGCCACAATGCCGGCCCACCAGTAGGAGTTGCATGATAGATGATTGTCTCTGTGATATTCATCTAGGGTTGTTACTACCTGTGATATGTTTATATGCTAAAATGATATGATGCTATGTACTAGTGATAGTAGGGGGAGATAGTCCCCAGATTACCGGCCGATAGGGTCGAAGGGGCGGTCGTGCCCAGACATGCTAGATAGATTATGTGATAAATGTGTTATGTGGTAGTAGTAAGGGGGTGAAATAGTCCCCAGTACCCGGTCGAGAGGACCGAAGGGGAGACCAGCACCCAGATATGCTAGCCAGTACCCGGTCGAGAGGACCGAAAGGGAGACCAGCACCCAGATATGCTAGTCAGTACCCGATCGAGAGGACCGAAGGGGAGGCGAGCTCCCAGATATGCTAGACAGTATCCGGTCGGGAGGACCGAAGGGGTAGGTCGGGCACCCAGATATGCCGGACAATATATGTATGTTATGTAACTGTATGGTATGTGGTATGATGGGGGAACTCACTAAGCTTTGTGCTTATAGTTTATAGTTTTGTTTTCAGGTACCTCTTTGTCGAAGGGGAAGGAGCTGGCGCGGTAGCAGCACATCATACACACACATTGGTTTCCGCATCATGAGTTATTATGGGATTTGTACTCTGACATTATTATGTTTTTATAAAATGGTTTCCGGACACGCGACATTTTTATGAAATGATATGATCAGTGAATGTTTTATTTCTAATGTTTTGCTAAGTATATGTTTCAAAAATGAATTTTTTTGGCTCGTATTTTGGGATGTTACAAGTTGGTATCAGAGCGCTGGTTTGAGGGATTCGGACACACCTTCGGGGGATGTCTGGACTCAAATCGAGGGATTAAAAGATTTTTATAAAGAAATGATTAAAGACTGAGTAAAAGAGTTTTGAGAAAGAACGAGGTGTGTGATGTGCGCGACCGGCCGAGCTCAAGTAAGTTTTCCCCAAAG